TATGTGTGTGTGTGTGTGTGTGTGTATGTATATATATATATATATGTATATATTTTTATATATTATTATATATATATTATAATATATTATTATATTATTATATTATTATTTCGAGGAGTTATATACATCTTATCGATTCATTGAGTTATATATATCTTATTTATTCGGTCCGGTAGGGATCAAGTCACAGAACAGTTTGGTGCTGAAGATTGATGAGGAGGGTGTGACATTCCGCTCTTATCGTGACGGTCAGAAGGTAAGCTGTAGCGCTGAGCTTTTGGGGTTCACTGTATTATTTGTAATATCAAAGTAAGCTATTGAGCTTGATATCTATTGCAAAAGTAAGTCATTGAAGGTACCATTGATATCTATTGCAAACGTAAGTCATGAGTGTACAGTTAGTTAAGTGCTTGTGGCAGGTGCTGGCCTCCGTGGGAACGGCGTATGGGTTTAATGTACAAGAACGTTTGGTGTATGTATTCCAACCGAAAGCCAGGCAAATCTCTACGGAAATAAGTATTTGTACGAAAGTACTTCTCTAATAGTTCCTTAGTATCATAATAATTCCCTTGGATTATAGTCGTTGACCAGCATCACAATAGTTCCCTAATAACCCTAGTAGGAGACTATCTCACTAGTACTATATAGCTATGTCGCCGTACAGTGCCATTTGCAGTCCCTTAGTAAGAATTAATGACAGGACGCTCGCGCATCGGTGCGAAGCCATACTTGTAAGTTAAGGATATATATATATATATATATATGTATATATATACATTATAACACTAAAACCCTATACTTGTAAGCTAAGGATATATATGTATATTAAACCCTAAAACCCTATACTTGTAAGTTAAGGATGCTTACCCATGAACATGACTACCACGACATCCGCGAAGTGCCCAGAATAACACTGCAGTGGCCCTGTCACCTGAAGTCACGAGCTGCTGTCATGTGTGTTTTATCAACATATTTGGTATCATGTGTGTGTTAATATCTTATTTGGTATCATGAGTGTGTTAACATCTAATATGGTATCATGTATGTGCTAGTATCTTATTTGGTATCAGGTCTGTGTTGACATCTTATTTCGTATCATGTTTGTGCTAGTATCTTGATAGTCCTGTCTGTTTGCAAAAGGTGCGGCGGAGCGCCCAGAGTAGCACTGTAGGGGCCCTGTGACCTGAAGTCACGCGCGTTTCTGGCTACGCTGCATCTTCAATCGGACTTGCCTGGTGTTACGGCCTGTATGTAATGACTGTGCTTGCTTGTACGAGCTTGCATATCTCCTGGCGCTCACTCTGACACACAGAATACCCCTCCGGATAATTTGTCCTAAAATACCCCCAAATAACGGGGGTGTGCCAAGCTATCTACACCCTCTCAATCAATTGTTGTACTCTTCTCTTCTCCTAAAATACCCCCTAAAATATCTTGTCCTACAATACCCCTACAAATAACTTGTACTAAATTACCCCCAAGTAACTTGTTGCTAAACTACCTCCCCAA